CCAACAGAATTAATGAGCACTTCCTACAAAGTCTCCATAGATTCTCTCACATGACAAATATCCTCTTTTTAAAGCTCAAAAGTTACCTGTAACATTCTGCTTTTTGGCAGAATGATGTAGCCCTGTACCATCTCAGACAAGTCTCGTATCTGCAAATGTCCCCACAACAGACACCTTCAGGCAAGCCCTTCTGCACTTTGCAGACCATCTTGTCTATCCAGATGGAGGAGAAGGTGCTCTCCTCCTCATAGTCTTGCCATCCTGACATCACATTGAGCTGTGCTGAGGCACCCAGAGGGATCTTGGATGGTCTCTAGGTACATCCAGTGATACCCAAGCCCAGACTCATAGTGCACACATCTGTTTTGAGCACAGATATCCTTTCAAAGACAGCCCTGGTGGCATGGGGGAGACTGGGCCAAGAGCAACCCTTCCTTAATGTGTCAAGTGCAGGACTTCCCTAAGCACTCAGAGAATTAGGGCACTGCTTGCCACTAAGCATGCTCATAACCATCCGGAAAGCTGAACTGTTCCATGCTATAAATAAATGTTTTCCCTTTTCCCCTGTGACTGTTACTGCATTTCTTTAAGCTTCTCAGTTTAAAGTAAGCACAGACAACAACAATGCGCTCAAAGGTGCCAAACTGTACATAAGGGAAAGGCATGTGCAAGAGTGCAAGCTATGCCTGAAAGTCTGACAGACTCTCACAATGTTTCCCTTAGTTTAATAATAAATAATCATAACATTCAAAGCACACGTATTACATTAACAAGCACTGGATGACACACACAATAAAAAAGATGCTCATTTTTTTTGGCTGCTGAGACTTAGTTACACAAACTACTTGCCAGAACTGACAGCTAGAAAGAAGATGGAATGCATCTTCCTGCATCTTGGGGGACTTTCATCTAATTTCCAACTACTGTGGGTGCCTCTCACTACTCTCTTCTTTCTGGAGTTATGTGATAAGGATCACTAGGGCAGATGGAGAGATTGCAGCTGAGTGAGGACCTTCTAACCCAGAAGAAAATCCAATAACTTGACCAAGGCACAGCTAAGGCCAGAAGTCTGAGCAATAACGATGGCCCGAGGGTGCCCAGCGATCAGGAATGGTCAGGGATCTTCAAAATCATCAAGCAAGGGGCAAGGCAAACAGTAAAGGGAAACCATGGAGAACACAATATAACTGAGTCAAAAATTACACAGATAAACCAGGTATGAGGAAGAACAAGCCTTCAGCAGCAGAAAGTAAGAATAAAGACTAATCTACAGAAATGCAGTTAAAATCAAGTAGTGGATTGAGCAGCCCAGAGAAATCACTCTTGACAGGGGAAGTTTGTCAGACTTTTAAAAGACAAGAGAGGCAAGATTTTAGGCTCCCAGGTTCTTTGTTCTGTCAAGTTGTGGAGCTTCGTAGATCAGGACATAAGCAGATGGCTCCTGGCCCGTTTGGACAGAACATCTGTCTATGACAGCAAAAGTATTGACTCGTCTGTGACTAGGCTGTGTCACTGGTTGAATTTCAATCCATAGAATTGTGTTGCTGTTACTTTGAGTATTCACTGAAGGCAAACACATCATAATGCACTCTTGTTCTTGTCCCACATCTTCTCACATTCTTTATGGTCTCAGAGATCCTGGCAGCATCCAGTAGTTGCTGCTCCCAATTCACCTTCCTTTCCTTTTCCTTCTGGCTTTTCTTCCAGCTCTGGAAATCGATGTGGCCATTTTCTTTTGCTTCACACATATGGCTTTGCATTTTGTTAGGCAGTAAACCATGCTGTCATTAATGTTGAGGTTTTTTTATTCAGTTGTTTTCCACTCCCATATGTACAAAAAGCTGCTTTTAATTCTCACCTTTCATTCTGATGTTTATATACACCTCTGCTTTTCTGGGTTATACTTGCTTTATGACCTTCTGCTCAGTCAGAAAGCTGGCAGGTATTTGCTGCATTCCTATGAGGAATATTTCTCTTATCTTCAGCAAAACTGTCCTGGAGATTTTATCTGGATTGCAGGAGATTTTTATCTGGATTATACCTATGAATATGTTGTCCCTGTGAAAGAAATGGGAGACATTTCACTAGTGCTGGACTGCTTTTCTGGGTCTGGATTTCTCAGTCAGTTTCAGAAGCTAATGAATAATGAAGACTTACCTCAAACAACAGAGACCATCAGGTGTGGAGGGGAGCACTTCAGAGAGGGAGTGAGGGAAGCAGGAATAGTTTTGCTTTCAGAAATGAATGCTGAGAGTAATATCATACTTTGACACTTTACTGGCCACAGCTGGAAAACATTCTGCTGCTTTTTAAATATGAAAGTCTTTGTATAGTTATATTTCATAATCACGTACACCTTACATTTTTAACATTGCCGGGAAGACTATTTAAATGCCTCAGCACAGAGGGAGTGTTTGCCATAATAATGTCTCCTGAAGAGACATAGCCCACAAAGCTCAGGATGGTCTTTGCTGCCAACTGTCCTTTTAGTAAATGAATTCCCATTTGTGTGGGGTGAGGGCTGTGCTGAAGAATTTCATAGAAGGATCAGAAGATATTTCTCCACCAGAATTACAGTTAAATAAAACTCAGTCTGTCCAACTTAAACACCAGCTCCTCAGTTTTGCTAACTAGTTTGTCATTGTTATCATAGTTACACACAGTGCTTTGTATAATTTTTTAAACCTTTTAAATTACTGAGAACAAAAATAGTACATTGAAGTTCAGATTTTGCAATCAGAGCCACTAACAGTAATGCTTCCCTACTGATTTCATACCATTTATGCTCAGTTGTACCTTCCATGATTTTATATAAGAAAGCACGAGCACTATTGGACGCTAGATTTAGATAATGCTTTGAATATAAATCTGACCAGACAGGAAGTTTGTACACATTTCATGGTAGGTCAGAAGGTCTTGAGCCATAGTGTAGAACATGACCACATTACCCACTAGGTAACTTTTGTAAAAATGGAATCCCATAGTTTTGGGTTCCCTCACCTTCACACTAAACAAAATTTAAGCTCTTCTTCCATGCAGCCTTATAGCTACAGCATTCATCTAAGTCTTCTTCCTATTCTTTAGTCTGAATTAGGGCAATTTTTCTCTTTGAAAGACTGCAACTCAGAGGGCAAGTGTATGAACCTGCTTCTTTTTTTTTCATCCAAAGCTGGTGTCCTAAACCCCAAGAGTTTAAGAAAACAAATATGTGGAAACATCACTAAAAGCAATACATAGCTCAAAAAAGTTATGATGTGGCATACATCATATTCTCACAGCAACTAACTCAATCAGAAATGTTCCTACTGGTCCCTACATAGTTTGGCTGAGGGCACTTCCTGTAAGCATCAAAGGTGGTTATTGAATTGCAGACCATGAAACAATTTCTTTGGTACAGCACAGGTGCCACTGTAGTAAATCAGGATATCTTCATGCAATTTAACCAGTTGTGTATCTAACACTGTTACTTAAGCAAGAGGTGAAACACAGATATTTTGAGGGTGGAGTGTATACAATATTAAGTATGAGTAGCCCACAAATGCTTGCTTGCATCCCTTGGGCATTCACCCAGTGGCAGATTTGTAGTTTCCATTTGGAGCAGACCCAAGACTGAGAAATTTGCCTAGCCATGACTCTCAGCTGAGTTCCCCATTTCAGTCAAAAGCAGCTACACTTTAAAAGCCATCCAAGGCTGTTGGGGAAAAAGACTCCACATTCTACCTTAAAATAAATTACACAGATGGAAAAATACAGCCCAGGTCTTTCATCATTTGTTCACGTTGTACAGACAGGAGTCCTTAGCATGCTGGAGCAGAGCTTGGAGTACCACGGTTTTACAAAGTAAGAGTAAATTAGAAAAAAAATTATAAAATCCCCTCACAGTTCACTGTTAAAGAATAATCATACAGCATCTGCCTTCATTTCTATAGCTGCATTACAATGAAGGACACAATCAGTCTCTCAAACATACATTGCTAGCTTAGCTTATCATCTCCTACCTCTCAAACTGATTCTTCTGCCTCTATTAAGTAGTTTTCCATTGACATTTTCTGTTCTTTTTCAATACACCAGGAGCTTTTGATGACATTGGCTGTTACAGGACTTTCAAAACTCCATCTTTTTTCATATGAGGAAAATCTGACTTTCTGGTATTTTTTCTTCTGCATTTATCCTTACAAGGTGCAGGTTTTTTGAAAGGACTGGATTTCTCTTAATGGATTTCTCTGGAGTTCCAGTCTGCTTCTGTAAAGCCCAGAAAGAACAGTTTTTAAGGAAGAGGAAGGTATTGCTGAATATGAGCCTTCTTTGAATTTTACCCTCCCTTAGGGTGGGGAAGTGAGGTGAGCTGATCTTGCTGAAATATTTTTAAAACCCCAGGGATACAAAACTTTGCATTTAATGACATTTTTTAATGGGACTTTTGCCCATGAAGCATCTGTAACCTCTCCTAATTTAACTCTCATTTTATCTCATGTATTTATTTTTTTATCTAGCTGGTGTCTCTTTAACATCCCTATTGCAAGGAAGGTTGCTAACCTGTTATAGATCAGTTGAGTCATTATGCCCATCCTCACCTGTTCTTAATAATATTGCTATTCTGAAATTGGTAGTAAGTCATTCTAGACTTCTTTTCCCAGATATTTTCTTCTGTCGTGATGCTGTTACAAAACTTCCTGGCTGCTTTCCAGCAGTCAAGATTTACACATTGGACCACAAAAAACAAAAGGCAGAGTTTCCATAAGAATGCCACCCCATTCCCCTCTAGGTTCACAATGGCACTAAAAGGAAAATACACATGGATTTTTCCAAGGCTGTAGCTCTTCACCCCCAGGTGCAGTGCTCACAAAACCAGAGCCCCTTACTCAGATGTTGCTAGCAGCAAGAGTCAGCTGGCACTCGGGAAGGACAAGCAGCTTGCATGCCATGCTCCTCTGAAGGGCTGTGGCACTAAAACCCCCAGGTCGTGGCAATCTCAAATGCAGTCCCCCACATGCTGCTGTAAGGTAACAATCAGGAGACAGCAAGAAGCACAACTCCTTCCCACTCTGTGCTCTAGCTAGCTTGGTAATAAACCTCTGTCCTGGATTGTGACGTGTATCTGTGATTCAAGGCTGCTGTTTACTTGTTAATTGTCAGCACTTGGCACAGGTCTTGTGTTTTGCAGCATTACCAACATCTATTTGGATGGTGTTACAGAATAGGGTACAGCATGGTCAATAACACTTGAAGCCCTTTTTCTCTTAGCCACCACAAAACCACTGGTAGATTGAGAACTGCCTGAACGGCTTACTCAGGGTTGCGATCAGTGGTACAAGGTCCACTGGGAGGTCTGTCACTAGTGGTGACCCACAGGGGTCATTACTGGGCACAGTTTTTTTAACTTTTCAGCCATGACTTGGATGAAGGGGCAGAGACCTCCTCAGCAAGCTCACTGATGACACAAAGCTGGGAGGAGTGGCAGATTCCCCAGAGGGATTTATAGCCCTAAAGCAGGATCTCAACAGGATGGAGAGATGGGCAGAGAGGAACAGTCTGAAATTCAGCAAAGGTAAGTGCAGGGTCCTGCTCCTGGCAAAGAACAACCCCAGGCAGCAGCACAGCCTGGGGGCTGACCTGTTGGAAAGCAAGTCTGTATAAAAGGACCTAGGGGTCCTGGCAGACAACAAGCCATCCATGAGCCAGCAGTGCCCTGGTGGCCAAGAAGGCTAATGGTACCCTGAGGTGAATTAGGAACAGCATTGTCAACAGGTTGAGCGGGGTGATCCTGGCACTCTGCTCATCCCTGGTGAGGTGCATCTGGAATGCTGTTTCCAGTTCTAGGCTCCTCAGGGCAAGAGAGACATGGAGCTCCTGGAGTGAGTCCCATGGACAGTGACAAGGATGATGAGGGGACTAGAAAACCTCTTCTTAGGAGAAAAAACGGATGCAGCTGAGTCAGTTTAGCCTGGATCAGAGAAGACTGAGAGGAACCTTATCAATGAATGTTATTAACTGAAGGGTTCCATCAAAAGGATGGAACCAGACTCTTTTCAGTGGTGCCAAGCAATAAGACAAGAGGCAAAGAGCACAGGAAGTTTCACCTGAACAAGAGTGGGTTACAGAGCACTGGGGCAGGCTGCCCACAGAGGTTCTTGAGCCTCCCTCACTGGAGATATTCAAGAACAATCTGGACACAATCCAGAGCACAGTGCTCTGCTTGAGCAGGGAGGTTGGACCAGATGACCTCCAGGAGCCCCTTCCAACTTTAAATCACAGCATCTCAGAATCAGTAAAGTGTTGGCAAGTAGGAATCAAAAGACTTTGATTCAGAAATGTGGGACGACCAGTAAGGACATGCATAAATATAGGTGTATGTTTAAATACCCTCCTGAAGCTGAGTCCAAACATTTACAGTTAGAATCTGAGCTGATTAGTACCCATAACATTAGATTTTTACTGAGCCCATAATAAGCTCTTCCTTCATGCTGTGGCAAAGGACTAGCATACATTTAGTTCTTATTCAAACACTTTGGAAATTATTTTGATTCCAGAATTAATTAACTGGACTGTATCTTAATCATTCCTACTAGTATCATACAGACATAAGCAAACTATCATATGATTCCCTACCAGCCTGATATATTTTCAATTTCCATGTAACTAAATAATTGCAGTACCAATTAGTTAAAATGTAAGTAGGAAAAAACATTGGATGGAGACATCTTAATTTAAATATAATCCATTAAGTAAAAACTGCTATTCTAATTAGTGATAATGTAGCACAATTAAGAAATAAAATTTGATTGGTACATCGGAATTTAAACTTAATTAGTAACTGCTATCCTAATTAGTAAATGCAATACGGTTCGAGCAACGTTTTGTTGGGGGAGAAGGGCATGTACAGTAGAGAGGATGGTGAGGAAAGAAGTATTGAGAGAGCTGAGGTGGGGAGTGTGGAGCACAGGAGTTCAGCCAGTGTCAAGCCCAAAGTCCTGTTTCTGAACCAGCACTGACCTCAGAGCAGAAGAGTTCGATCTCACTCAAAAAAGTTGATGTGAAGGATGGTTTGCTGTCACCTT